TCATCCATCTTAGTCAGAAAATATAACAAAAAAATTTGGTAAAAGAAATTTTTTTAGAACATTTTTTTTTAACTGATTTGGGTTTGTGGTGCGTCGTGTGGGAGGTATTTATAAGAGTTTTTAGCAGCGATTTTGCATCAATTTTGTATCGAAATTTTAGCATCGCACTAGCATCAAAATGGTTTGTGTTGATTTTTCTTCGAATTAGCGTCGTTTTTGCGTCGGTTACTAGCGCCGCTAAAGAAGTAGGTGAACTCATTAAAAACGTGTCACCTACCTATCCATTTCGACGCAATATCCGACGCTACATTCGACAATATCCGAATTGAATTATCTGATGGAGAATCGACGCGATATAGCGTCGATCTATTTTGTCCCTAATTAGCGACGATTTTGCGTCGAATTTTATTATCGACACAAAGACGACGCAAATTTGACACTAAATTTCGACGTTAAAATTGTGTTTTCTTGTAGTGATTGTTTCATTCATGTTTGTTATCCATTTAAAGTTTAATATACAATGAATCTCATCTTTCAAACTGATGGTCGGCGATCAAGATTTTGAAGTAGTTGACGTCGTTTCTAATGTTCATTGTTGGTTTTGATCCACAGGTCGGGGTAGCAAATAGATTCGGCTACATGGTAATGATAGACACCATATTCTGTTCGTAATTCTAAGCAGCTGGATTTTGTGGGTGACCGAGATGAGCATTCTTCCTACCAGTTTGTGCATCTTTTTTCCTTCATTCTCGACATTTCCATGAAATATTAAATCATTGTGCAAGAGAATATCAAATGAGGGATTGTGGTTCGTAAGTGGTATAGAAGCAGGATAGTACTTAGTGGATCCAAACTAAGACATCTATCATTCGTATAAGGTAGATTTGTAACTTATCACACTCATGTATTTCTTTTTTTCAATATTACTGTTTCTCGGTCTCATTTTGATATGAATTTGCAAGAAATGAAGGATTATTTCATATAGTTAAGCGTTACTAAGATTCTATAAAATTCATCTTTACAACAACATTTTTTTATGCATACGTTATGAGACACATGCATGCTTCGAAACAACGGGGGATGATTCAAAACGTACATCTCCAAGTTAGAAAAAGAAAGCTAAAGAACAAAAACATGTGTCGGAATGCTTTCGTTGCTGGAGATAGAAAATGGTAGGCATTAGATAACATCATAATTTGAGCAC